TAATCATTCTTTCCATGATGGACATCTGGTTGTTTCCAGTATCTACTACTGCAGTAGATAACGTTTTATGTGAGACATATTCCACAGATGCAAATAGGTCAGTAGGCTAAAACCCTAGAAGTGATAAAGGCATTAGTCATTTTGCAAGATATTGCCAAATTTCCTTCTACAGAACTTCCGCCAACTTTCAATCCTCCCAGTGTCTGAGAAGGCTCATTTCCCCACTTTCTAAACCATAAATAGTTCAGGAAAATCTGGTTTAGCCCTGCTAAACTTTCCACTTTCTTGGAATGAGACTCACATTGCTCACCACAGCCTGCAAGGGCTTCCACTGTTTGTCGCCAACCTGGCTTCCCAGGCCCCGGTGAAACCAAGTGTTGGGAGAGATCCAAGGAAGATCATTGCAGAAACAGCGATGCCAGCCAGAAGGCATCCTGGGGCCGGTGTTCTTTTCTCTGGGGGCATGTGTATTAGGGAGTGGGCTTGCTGCTGTGTGCCCCACTCCACAAGTGTGGGAAAAGAGAGGTGGGGTAGGCTGGCACGGCACATGAATGGCATGGAAGGCTGAAGCTACATTACCTTGGGGGCCATGTTGGGGGCCATCCAGGATTTTGGACCTACTAAGATGTCCCCAGATTAAGCCATCCATCTAGATGTGAGCAGCTCCCCCGGACAGCCGGCAAGGGGCCAGTATTCTGCTTCCGGATTTGGCCTCTCCGCCAACAAACTTAAAGGACTCCTGCACAGAACTGTCCACCAGGGGGCAGTAATGATACTTTTGAACTGTGGTGCTGGAAAAGATTTTTGAGAGTCCCTTGGGTTCAACTCCGTCGCTCAGTCGTGTCTTGACCCTGAGACCCCATGGACTGCGGCACGCCAAGCTTCCCTGTCCATCACCAACTCCCAGAGCTTGCTCAGACTCATGTCCATCGAGTCAGTGATGCCATCCAACCATCTCAACCTCTGTCATCCTCTTCTCTTGCCTTCAATCTTGCCCAGTATCAGGGTCTTTTCTAATGAGTTGACTCTTAGCATCAGGTGGCCAAAGTTTTGGAACTTCAGCTTCAGCATGTAGTCCTTCCTATGAAGATTCAGGGGTGACTTCCTTTAGGATCAACTGGTTTGTTCTCCCTGCAGTCCAAGGGACTTTCAAGAGTCTTCTCCAACACCACAGTTCAAAAGCAACAATTCTTTGGCACTCATCTTTCTTCATGGTCCAACTCTCACATCCATACATGACTACTGGAAAAACCATAGCTTTGACTAGACAGACCTTTGTTGGCAAAGTAATGTCTCTGCTTTTAAATATGCTATCTAGGTTGGTCATAGCTTTTCTTCCAAGGAGCAAGCGTTAGAGAGTCCCTTAGATAGCAGGAAATCAAACCAGTCAATCCTAAAGGAAATCAACCCTGAATATTCATGGGAAGGACTGATGCTGAAGCTGAAGCTCCAGTACTTTGGCACTTGATGCAAAGAGCTGACTCACTGGAAAAGACCCTGATACTGGGAAAGATTGAGGGCAGGAGGAGAAGGGGGCGACAGAGGATGAGATGGTTGGATAGCATCACCATTGGATAGCATGGAGTCCAATGGACATGAATTTCAGCAAATTCCAAGAGATAGTGAAGGACAGGGAAGCCTGGCATGCTGCAATCCATGGGGTTGCAAAGAGTTGGACACACCTTAGCAACTGAACAACAACCCCAGTAAATGGCAAGGGCCTCAACCCTCTATATGCATTTGTTTGTTTATGGAGTCTTAGAACTGAGGGTCTAAAAAAATTTTTAAAGGCATCTAGTTCCATCTCCAACCTGACATTTGAATCACTTCAATAGGCTCCTCAAGTCCCCAGATTGCCTCTGCTTGCACACCTCCAGTCACGGAGAGCTCACTATCAACTAAGGCACCTCATGCCATAGATGGACAATCCAAATTGTCAGAAAGTTCTTTCATAAGCCCAGTGTGTTGCCCTATCATTTTCCACCTTTCATCCCCAGGTCTCCCCTATGGAGTAACACAGGGTAAGTCTATTCCCTCACCTCCAGGAAAGCCTTTCACATAGTTAGTCAGTGGTCAGGACCCCTGAAGCTTTCTCGGGCAAGTCTCTCTGATCTCTTTAATTGTCCCTCATCAAATAGGATTTTAAGTCCCCCTTTCCCTCCCCATTCTAGTCACTTGTTGTTGGACAAGCCCTAATTTTTCTAGATCTTTATCCAAAATATATGTCTGAAAGTAGACCCAGAACTCCTGGAGTGGCACAGAGGAAACAGGACCACCATTCCCTTCCTCTTTCCAAGGCCCAGACTCTTGTTCCAGCAGCCCAAGTCCCCACTCGTTATTTTTAGCTGCTACACTGCACTTCTGAGTCATATGCTGCTTCCTGTTGAGTAAAACCTTCATTTTCATGCCCACTGCTGCATCATGAGCAGCATTAGTTTAAATCTACACAGCATGGAAAAGATACATTTTCATTCCAATTCCAAAGAAAGGCAATGCCAAAGAATGTTCAGACTACTGCACAATTGCACTCATTTCACATGCTAGAAAAGTAATGCTCAAAATTCTCCAAGCCAGGCATCAACAGTACGTGGACTTCCAGATGCTCAAGCTGGATTTAGAAAAGGCAGAGGAACCAGAGATCAAATTGCCAACATCCACTGGATCATTGAAAAGGCACGAAAGTTCCAGAAAAACATCTACTTCTGCTTTATTGACTACACCAAAGCCTTTGACTGTGTGGATCACAACAAACTGGAAAGTTCTTCAAGAGATGGGAATACGAGACCACATGACCTGCCTCATGAGATATCTGTATGAAGTTCAAGAAGCAACAGTTAGACCTGGACATGGAACAACAGACTGGTTCCAAATAGGAAAAGGAGTATGTCAAGGCTGTATACTGTCACCCTGCTTATTTAACTTATATGCAGAGTACATCATGCAAAATGCCAGGCTGGATGAAGCACAAGCTGGAATCAAGATTGCTGGGAGAAATATCAATAACCTCAGATTTGCAGACAACACCACCCTTGTGGCAGAAAGCGAAGAACTAAAGAGCCTCTTGATGAAAGTGAAAGAAGAGAGTAAAAAAGTTGGCTTAAAATTCAACAATCAGAAAACTAAGATCATGGCATCTGGCCCCATCACTTCATGGCAAATGGATGGGGAAACAATGGAAACAGTGACAGGCTTTATTTTCTTGGGCTCCAAAATCACTGCAGATGGTGACTGCAGCCATGAAATTAAAAGATGCTTACTCCTTGGAAGGAAAGTTATGACCAACCTAGACAGCATATTAAAAAGCAGAGACATTACTTTGCCAACAAAGGACCGTCTAGTCAAGGCTATGGTTTTTCCAGTGGTCATGTATGGATGTGAGAGTTGGACTGTGAAGAAAGCTGAGCACCGAAGAATTGATGCTTTTGAACTGTGGTGTTGGAGAAGACTCTTGAGAGTCCCTTGGACTGCAAGGAGATCCAACCAGTCCATCCTAAAGATCAGTCCTGGGTGTTCCTTGGAAGGACTGATGCTGAAGCTGAAACTCCAGTACTTTGGCCACCTCATGCGAAGAGTTGACTCATTGGAAAAGACCCTGATGCTGGGAGGGATTGGGGGCAGGAGGAGAAGGGGACGACAGAAGTTGAGATGGCTGGATGGCATCACTGACTTGATGGACATGAGTTTGAGTAAACTGCGGGAGTTGGTGATGGACAGGGAGGCCTGCCGTGTTGTGATTCATGGGGTCGCAAACAGTCAGACACGACTGAGCAACTGAACTGAACTGAAACACAAATGACAAAAAGAATCTCAGGTTCCCTTCCTGAGGTTCATGGGAACACAGACATTGCCAGAACCATTGACAGGGGGGCAAACTAGGTCTGGGAACAGATCTGAAAGTCCAGCACAGAGAATGAAGCATTTGTTCATTTCTCAGTAGTCAATTTTATATCCATGTAGCAGTAGGCAGGATATTAGAGGGAAATAGTGAAAAGGGAAGAAAGTCAGCACTTAGCAAACAGGGATTCAGATCCTAGTCCTAGTCTGGAGCATCTGTAATTGAGGAAACAATATTTCAGTTGTCTAAAAAACTGGTGAAGGTGAAGGTGCTTTTCTTCTCTGGTGAAGATGCTTTTCAGACTTTAAGGGCTGAAACAGACTTTGGTTATTATTATTCTTAAATTACATCCCTAATACTTCAGGTCATTGGGAAAGATCTGATACTGGAAAAGATGGAAGGCAAAAGGAGAAGAGGGCGGCAGAGGATGAGATGGTTAGATAGCATCACTGTCTCAATGCATATGAATTTGAACAAACTCCGGGAGATAGTGAAGGACAAGGAAGCCTGGCGTGCTGCAATACACGGGGTCGCAAAGAGTCAGTCAGTGTTGGATACAATTTAGCAACTGAAGAACACTTCAGGGCCTTCCGTGGAAATCCTCCTTCCTCTCCTACCCTGTTTCTTTAATCCAGGCACCAAAACCTGCCTTTGCCAGTAGCCAATTCCAGGCCATAGCAACGGCAGGAACCTGAGTTCTAATTGTGTTTGCCATCTAACTGCATTACCCAAACCCTAGTGTCTCCACGGTTAAACACAGAAGGTAAACACAGATAAGGGAGGCTGTGTGTGAGACAGAGAAAAAGATCGAAGGCTCTGTAAACTGCAAGGCACAATACTCATTAGGTAGCTAGAGCTGAGATGATGAAATCCAAAATTCGAGCCGCCCCGCCCGGTGCCCCCCAAGTGGCTCCCACACAAGACTCCTAGCCGGTCCCGCGGATGCTGCAGCCAAAGCTCACAGTCTGGACTCCTTACGGCCTACGCGCGTGGGAGGCGTGCCAGCGCGAGTTACCGGATTGGGTAACTCCGCACAGGGCGGGGCCTCTGGGAGGCGGGGCTTCCGGCCACCCGCTCCGCTGTTGCCACGGGTGACAGCCGCAGGGAGGCGGAAGGAGCAGAGGACCAGCCAGAGCTGCGTAGGTGAGCGGGAGCCTTGGCGGCCATGGCGGTCTCGGAGCCGGGTTACCGGAGCTGGTCCTTGTGGCCCGAGGTGCCATCCGCCACCTTCTTCACCGCGCTGCTCTCGCTGCTGGTATCCGGGCCTCGTCTGTTCCTGCTGCAGCAGCCCCTGGCGCCCTCGGGCCTCTCGCTGCGGTCCGAGGCCCTGCGCAACTGGCAAGGTGAGCAGGGCGGGGCCGGGTACCGGGTGCGAGTTCTTTTTCCTCCGATCTCGCCAGGCCCTGGGCTCCGGCCTCCCAGAACCCACGCCACCCCATCTCCGTCCGCCTCATTCTCCCCACCTGGAGGACCAGCCCCATATTCCACGTCTTTGTGCAGAGCCCCATCTTGGTCATCCCTGTAACCCTTCCCTACCCAGATGTGTTCCCGTCCCTGTCGCCATCGTACTGGTCAAGGCTCCCATATCCATTCGTAGCGATTAGGCTTCTTTCACCCCTGCTTGCTCGCCGAGGAGGATTTTTCTCTCCCTTGTCACATTCACACCTCCGTCTGCTTTAGGGCCCAACCCCCTACTGGAAACAACAAAAAAAATTTTTTTTCCACCTTCTCAAGACACTTGAGCTGTATCTGTGGCCACCTCTGTAAACATCCTGGCCTCCTGGCGTTTAGAATTTCTTCTGCATCTTCGTTTTTATCTTAATCCTGACTCCGATTCCCAGCTTATAGAGAGAGCGGGGTGTCTTGTACTTTTGGGAGAGGTGTTGGTTTTCTCAGGGAGATGGAGAGATTTTGCAGACCAATTAAGTGTAAATATCTGCTCATAAAAGATGTTCTTAGCCTCTGTTTCTTCCCCATTCTTTTTTGGGGAGGAAAATGAGAGATTTGTATGACTTTTGTTGTTTTGCAAAGCACTTTCACATGCATTAATCTCTTTTAATTCTCACGGTGATCCCATGACGTATTATTACTGTAGGCTTTATTGCCCATGGGCTTTATTGTTGTCCACTCTTTAGATGAAACTGAGGCTTAATGCGAAGACTCACAGAGCTATTGAGTCATACAATTGACACAGGAACCCAGATTGTTCTTTGCATCGTGTGACATTTTGGAACTGGAACCTTGGGCTTTCTAAATCCCCAAATTATATAGAATTGCTTCTAGAATCTTCACATGTACCCTTGGGATTTCAGTGTTGGAAGTACTCAACAAGTAATGATGGTACTCTTCAGATGACGAAGCCTTACCGAGATGGCCTGACTGAGGTATATGGTTCTTAGCCTGCCTCCCTGCTCAAATCTAAAAGTGGTCCCCCTCACCCTCACCCTGGATCACATAGCACGTCTGTCTTCAGAGACAGATGCAAAATGCCAGCCTAAACTGAGCTCCCTTTTTTTTTTTTTCTTTACTTTGCGGCTTCTCTTGAGTGTGGGATTCATGGACAATGTGAGTATTAGACACGTAAGAGACCTTTGAGGGCCTCGAGTATATCCATTTTATTTTACAATAAGAACCACTGAAGCCGACAGGGCCCTGTGTCTGGACTGAACTCAGCCAGTCTAGATGTGACAGAGCCAAGATTCCTTTAGACTTCCAAATCCAATGTTCCTGCCACTTCACTGATCACCCTCCTCCTTCAGTTTAGTGTTTTTGCCTGCAGGGATGTAAAAATACAGAAGCGAGGACTGCTTGTAGAAAAATAAAAGATTCTTTACTATCTTATTGCATATCAAACATCACTCTACCTCTAAGACTGGATAAACACTTGCAAGAAAGACTTCTGAGTTCTGTATCTACATTCTTAGTGATAGTTTTCTCATCTTTACAGGTGCACAATAATTCATGGTCCCTTTTTTCTTCCTCTGAACAGCCACTATGGAAGGAGAGGTCAGGATTACAGCCGAGGAGACGGGCACAAAGAGTGTTAAGTGACACCCACTCAATCCACCTGAAGCTGTTACAATTAATTAACCCTCAAACTGCCCGGTGAGATAGGTCAGTATTAAAGCCTCAAAGAGGATTATAAAGCACATTACAAATTATAAGAGACCATCCCATGCTAAAAAGTGTTATTTTTCTTCCCCCACGTGGAAGCCAGTCACAGATAAGACTTGCTCCAGGTCTGGGAAAGAGCAAAGATTAGACATCCCCGCCTCTACTTTGAGTCCTGGGTCCTTCGCTGTTGCTCCCCTCTGCTTATCCCACTGGCTCCGGGCTGATTTTCCCTGGCAACGAGAGCCAGCTGCTCCCCGTTTTCCTAGGTGGGTTGTAACCTGGCTTTTCCCTTCTTGGAGCAAGCCACCGTCAGGCCTCTAACTCGGTTCCCCCTGCAGTTTACAGGCTGGTGACCTACATCTTTGTCTACGAGAACCCCGTCTCCTTGCTCTGCGGTGCCATCGTCATCTGGCGCTTTGCTGGCAATTTTGAGAGAACCGTGGGCACCGTCCGCCACTGCTTCTTCACTGTGGTCTTCGCCGTCATCTGTGCCATTATCTTCCTGTCGTTTGAAGCTGTGTCATCACTGTCAAAGCTCGGGGAGGTGGAGGACGCCCGCGGTTTCACCCCCGTGGCTTTCGCCATGCTGGGAGTCAACTGCGTCCGCTCTCGGATGCGGCGGGCCCTGGTGTTCGGCATGGTTGTGCCTTCGCTGCTGGTGCCCTGGCTCCTGCTCTGCGCCTCCTGGCTCATTCCCCAGACCTCTTTCCTCAGTAACGTCTGTGGCCTGGGAATAGGGCTAGCATGTATCCTTCCTAGAGGGCTGTTGTCGTAGCGATGACATGCCAGAGGATGAACCACGCTGTAGGTCCTGGGGGTCGGGGCAGGGGGTTCAGGCAGATAGAGCTCACATGTAGGTATTCTGTGTGCCAGCTTCAGATTTGAAAACCATGTGGCCTCAGGCCACTTCCCTTCTTTACACCAAAGTTTTCTCTTCTGGGAGAGATCCCCCTACCTCTTTCCATACGATGGCTCAGCTGCTGCTGCTGCTAAGTCGCTTCAGTTGTGTCCGACTCTGTGCGACCCCATAGACGGCAGCCCACCAGGCTTCGCCATCCCTGGGATTCTCCAGGCAAGAACACTGGAGTAGATTGCCATTTCCTTCTCCAGTGCATGAAAGTGAAAAGTGAAAGTGAAGTTGCTCAGTCGTGTCCGACTCTTCGCGACCCCATGGACTGCAACTTACCAGGCTCCTCCATCCATGGGATTTTCCGGGCAAGAGTACTGGAGTGGGCTGCCATTGCCTTCTCCGGCTCAGCACTACCATTTAATGAAATACTCTGATTTGTTTTTTTCCAAGGTATAAACCCATTTGGCCAATTTTTTGTTGTTGGAGGATCCTGAAATACCCATGAGCTAGAGATGTTCCATGAAAGGTATTCCCAGGAAAAAAAAGATATTCCCAGGAAACAGGTTTCTTTGTTTTTGTTTGGCTTAGTCTTTTTCTCAGAAGAAAAAAAAAAATTTTTTTTAAGGTAGGCTTTGAACATTTGAGTGGTTAAAAACTTAGAATAAGCCTTACATTCCTGGCAATTAGGCTGACTCTTTTTGGCCGTCTCGGCAGTGACGGGCTGACACAGGTTGGACAACCAGGGTGCCCTCACATCTCTGGGAGCTGGTGACGATGTGGGGGACGGGCTGCCACAGAGGCCCACGGGAAGCTCACTTGGTCACATCGAGGCACGGTTCCTTCTACCTGGGACAAAGGACAAGATGTCAGACCTCCCAGAGGGTATTAGACTGGCCGCCTGCTTCATCCCACTTAGAGAAACAGAGGTGCGTGCTGGCTTCTGACGGTGATTACAGGGGCTCGAGAGGCCCAGGAGAGAGGATGGGTGTGTCCAGGGGAAGGTGACATGTTAGCACCTGCCTGCCTCCCCTGTTGCTGCGTTGTGTTCCCTCTGAGGTATGGAGGCTAGAAACGCCATCTCTTGGTTTCCTCTGAGCTTGAAACTGCAGTCCAGAGATGATGGTGGAATAAGCCCAGGCCCCCCATGGAGTCAGCGTGGGCGCCTGTGTCCTGGGGCAGCGCGTAGCCCCCCTCCCTTTAGCTCTCTCCACTTCTCCTTAATACGCTGACCCCAGACGGCTTCACCTACTGCTTCTCCTTTGACGTCCCAGAGCAAGTCGCAATGAAGCTCGACCAGAAGTTCCCCTTCAGCCTGATGAGGAGGATTTCGATGTTCAAGTACATCTCCGGCTCTTCAGCCGAAAGGAGGGCAGCCCAAAGCCGGAAGTAAGTTACAGAACGCAGTGCTTGCTTTATTCCTGGAGCAGCTCCAGGGCCTATAAAAGCGCGGTCCCGAGCCTTTTTGGCACCAGTTTCATGGAGGACAGGTTTTCCATGAACCAGGAGTGGGATTGGGGGGGGGAGCGGGGGATGGTTGTTTCAGGGTATTTCAAGTTATTACATATTTTGTGCACTTCTATTTTCACTCTCAGATCCACCTCAGATCATCAGATCCCAGAGGTGGGGGTTCCCTGCTGTAGAGGGTGCGACTGGTTTTCGGTGTCCTGGGGAATAGGGAAGAGGGCGTGGGCGGCTTGGGCCTGCCCAGCAAAACCTGTGCACAGATTTCTCCTGAGGGTCCTGCATTCTGCCCAGCTGCCTCCAAAGGGGGGGCCAAGCAGGAAGGGCATTAGATGGGAGGCGTTCAGAGCCCCTGCACATAATCCCGAGGGCCGTGCGGGAGGGCATCACCAGCCCTCAGCACTGACAAGCGCTCTGTGTGGCTGGGACTGGGCTCTGGCAGGCGTCGCTGGTAAGAAGTGTGATCCACCCGGCTGACTGGCGGGCTTAGGAGGTGGCATGGCCCGAAGCTCAGGGTGTTCTTGGCCACCTAGCAGGAGAAGGTGAAGTTTATTCACTGTTTTCCAATCCAGGTGTGTTAGCTCTATGGAGCTCTCTCGTAGCCTCACTCCCTCCTGTCGGAGAGGAGGCCCAAAGGGGACAAACATCTTTCTCCAGGTAACACAGAGTCAGAAGTGGCCGGTCTAGAGCCAGGGCCTCCTGCTTCCGGCTCCTGCTCACTTCCTGTCACTCCTGCACACATGCTGCCAGCCTCGGGTGGCCTTCACTGGTTTTTGTCGATGCTGAGAGTTCACAGTGGAGGTTTCTCTCCCAGAGAGAGGGTTCACTGCAAAGTCAAGGCAGTGGCTGGTTTCTGCCTTGAGCCAGCTGTGGAGTCCATCTTGTCCCCCACACTGGCCTGGAGGCAGGATCTTGGTTGAATCAGGAGCTGTTCCTTGTAGTGTATTTTAAGAGACAGATTCTCAGCCTTCAGTGGCTCAAAGCCCTCTGACCATTTTCTTTTCTTTTCTTTTTTTTTGGCCATGCTGTGTGGCTTGTTGGATCTTAACCCCCTACCAGGGATCAAACTCGGGGCTCCCTCAGTGACAGTGCCAAGTCCTAACCACTGGACCTTGCCAGGGAAGTCCCAGCTCTGACCATTTCTTAAAGGCAAGGACGGGTACCAGGAAAAATAGAAATGCACACTCACTCATTTTATTTCAGGCAAGTAATTCTGGAGTATCAGTGGGTAGGAGATGTTGATGTTTAGAATTAGCTGTATTTTAGCTTTTTGGAAGGACCCTGATGCTGGGAAAGAGCGAGGGCAGGAGGAAAAGGAGACAACAGATCATAAGATGGTTGGATGGCATTCCCCACTCAATGGACAAGAGTTTGAGCAAGCTCTGGGAGGTGGTGAAGGACAGGGAGGCCTGGTGTGCTGCAGTCCATGGGGTCGCAAAGAGTCGGACACGACTGAGTGACTTAGCAGCAGCAATGGGTGGGAGGTGTTTACATTTAGAATTAGCTGTATTGTATAGCTTTTTGGTTCTTAATTGCTGTTCTCACAGAATCTAGAGAGAACTTCAGTTCTAATTTCAGTTCAGAGAGAACTTAGGAGTCCTCATTTGTAAACTCCTCAGCCACGCTCCAAGAAGGAAGCCCCTCTTAAGACAGCTGCCGATGTTGACCCCTGGCGGTTGGGGCCTCGCTCTACAAGGCAGCCCCCAGTGACGACGGTCTTGCACGCTGGATCACACTCACTTCTCTGTAACTGTGACACCCGTGGTGCCCAGTGATCCTGCTTCCCCATAACGTGCAGACCTGGCTGGGGATATGGTGACCCACATGGCATAGTGTCCCAGCCCGTGTCACCCTGGCCTGTTGCAGGCACCCAGAACAGACATGATGTTTCTGATGACCCAACAACAGGACACGGGCAGCACTGGTGCACGTGTTGGTTTTGGCATCAGTCCTGGCTGCCTGGACAGCTTTGTCTCCTTGGAGGCTCTTATCAAGCTTCTTATAGGCCAGAGCCTCTGCATTTTTAAAATTCAGGGAGTGCTGCGAAGTGTTTGTGTCTATACTTCAGTTGATTTATAAGCTTAGGTTTGGACTGAAATGTATCAAGGTTTAATCGTTACCTAACACAGATGTCAGTGGTTGTGACATTCGTTCTTCGTATTGAGAAATCTCTGCAAAAGGTCACAGGCTAAATCCCTTAGAAGGTGTCCCCCTTCATGGCCCCAGCCACCTGTGTCTGTGGTGAGGTCTTTGACCTCGGCACAGACAGCTCCCCGCATCTGTCACATCAGTTCCTGCCTGCCAGGACTTTGAGCTATAAGCCTTCTTTCCTGCTGTCATGGGTAAACCATCTGCCAGCAGACAAGGCCTGGGCCCGAGCCCTGTGTTACCCCGTTGGAGCCCTCCCCTCCGACCTCCCACAGAAGTGGACCCGTTCTCTTTGGTTGATCGCTAGGCCAGGCAAGGAAGACACTAACTACTGTGATCCCATCCCCAAGTCCATCCAACTTGCAGACTGCCCTTATACCTCAAGGGGTCTTAGGCATGGGCCCGACCGCCCCTCATCCTGCTGGCTTGCTGCAGCGCCATGAGTGTGCCCTGCCCGCTCTGGGCATCTGTTTTCTGTTCATTTGAGATGACTCTTTCTCCCCATGTGGCACATGTACAGCTGGTTACAGGAAACTCCAGTCCACAGCATGTTGTAATAGAAGGCAGTGCAGCGAGCCCAGCCTTTTCTCCTGCAGATCGACAGTCGGGGTGCTGTGTTCCCCGGCATGACTAGCTCAGCGCCCGTCTTCTCTCTTGTTCCTTTCCAGGCCAAACCCTGTGCCCGGCTCCTACCCCACGCAGAGTGGCCGCCCTCACCTGACCCCGAACCACCCTGCCGCCCAGATGCAGCATGTCAGTGGCCAGAAACTGGCCTCCTGGCCCTCGTGTGCTCCTGGGCACATGCCCAGCCTGCCTCCCTACCAGCCTGCCTCTGGCCTGTGCTACGTGCAGAATCATTTTGGCACAACCCCCAACTCCTCCGGTGTCTACCCAGCTTCCGCGGGTGCCTCCCTGGGAGTCCAGCCCCCTGCCCCCCTCAACTGCCCTGGCACCGTGTACTCCGGGGCCCTGGCCACTCCAGCCGCCACAGGCTCCAAGGAGTGCTCAAGGGTCCTGATGCCCTGAGAAAGTTTCCAGGGACGCAGTCTGCCCTCTTGGCCTTCTCAAAAAGGGCCTCTCTGAGCTGAGATTTTCTTGACACGAAGTTATTTATTGGACACCTCTATGTGCCATGCTCTGTGTTGAGTATTTTGATATGTGTCCCTGTTCAGTCTCCTTTATCCTCATGACAGCTTCGTGAAGTACAGTGGTCCCCACTTCCCAGATGCAGAAAGCAGGGCACCTGGTGAGGACACGTGGCTCTCGTGGCACAGCTGGGGGCACTTGGCTTCAGGCCCAGGCCCCTTCCACCCCCTTCCCCCCCACAAAGAAACCCCGGAGCAGCGGGGATCGGTTGTCAGTGGCTCCTCCCAGCTCTCAGTTCCTTCCTGTCCTTGCGCACAACACCCTTGGTTACCCCGTGTCCGTGTGTCCGTGCGTCCGTGTGTGCCCTCGGGAGCGCCCTGTTGGTGTGCTGGCCGGTCCCCGGGCCTGTGCAGTGTCCCTCCCCTGCAGTGACGCCCCCACCACCCAGACTTCTGCCCCAGGGCTGGTGAGACGGGCCTGCGTGGGCCCCAGCAGGATGCTGACGGGTCCGTTGCGTTGGTTACGTTTGTATAAAGAAACTGCCTCCAACCTGCCCCTGGCTTCCTGTGTCTTTATGATCAGGGAATACAGAGGGCAGCAAAGAGAACCGCAGCCAGGTCCAGTCGGGCAGACAACTCCCCAGTGGGGATACGAAATGGGGGGGTGGGGGGAGAGATAGTGGCTCCCTGGAGAGCTGAGAGGGCAAATGGGAAGGTTGGCGACCCTGAGATGGGTGGACAGCAGGGAGACACTGTGGTGGTCCCCGCGCTCCAGGCTGGGTCACCATGAGAAGGGCTGCCTGGCGGGACTTTACACAGAGGAGAGACGTGGGCACCTGCGGCGATGCTGTCAGAAGCAAGAGGCGGGGAGGAGAGCCCTGGCCTCTCTGCCTGTCTCCTGATCTCCCAGCAGGAGCTCCCGTGGGCTAAATTAACCAGGAAGCTGTTGGCAAGTGAGCCCAGGAAGTATAGTTTGCAGGGAGCTGATCCCTAACCCTGACCCTAACCATAATCCGCCCCAACCTGTCCCGGCAGGGCAGGGACAGAAAGTGACTGAGCCAATGGGCACCTGATCGGGCCGGCAGAGCTCACAGCTTCTGATCAGCTGTCAGCTGGACTCATGGTGGGCTCGCGTTGAGGAAACACTTCTGGTGCGGGTGTTCTCACCAACACCGTAACACGTGGCCTTCATGCATTCCTGGAGCTGGATGGCCCCCTTGGGCTGGCTTTTTGGAGAGGCCCTGGGAATCAGAGGTGGGGAAGACACACCCGCAGACCCGCAGCAGCGGCCAGAGCCAGGGCGGTGAATGGCCTGCACTGGCCGGGGAGCGGGGATGAAGCCAGAGAGTGGCTCCCAAGAGGGATTGTGAACAGGAGTCACCGGCCAAGGAGTCCAGGCTGCGGCTGAGACTTGCCTGCAGTCGCAGAGCCTGACATCTCCACGCCTGCACCTTTCCCCTAGGGTCACTTGGTGAGGGCAGGCTGCTGTGTGTCCCTTGGTCACAGTCCCTCCACTCCAGACTCCAGTCCCAGGCCTGTGCCCAGAAGCAGGGGAGGCGGCCACTACCTTCAGTGTGCTACCATCGCCTCCTTCGTATCTGGCCCTCCCGCTTGGATCGGCCAGAGCTGTGGAGGCCGGCGGCCTGCCTCTTGGATGGCCAGGCTCAAGGACCCTCAGGCGACTGAGTAGCAGGGCTGTGAGGGTCGTCTGAGGTCACTCTGTCCCAGCGTCTCCTCTGCCACTGGTTTCCCGAACCAGCTTCCAGGGAGGCGGGGTGAGTCTGGCAGAGCAGCCGACAGCGGTCCAGCCTCAGAAATTGGTTCTTCGTCTGTTTGTTCCCCTGGGCTTTGCTTGGGCCGCAGCGGGCAGCCTGGACCAGAGCGGGGGCATTTGTAGATGGGATCTCAAAGCCCTCCCCCACTTGCCTGTTGAATCATCCGCGTGCACCCGCTTCCGTGCGTGTGTGCCAAGCCTCAGGCTGGGCCTGGAGACAAGACAGAGGTGAGCTCCATGCGGGCAGAAAACCCCCAGCCCAGGCTGACACACAGTGAAGATCTGTTGACCAAGTAAATGAACTGGGACGCCCCACTCTGGGGGAGCTCAATCTGGGAGTGGGGGGAGTAGACGATTGAAAAATTGTAATTCAGTGACGCTGTTCAGGCATCAGAAGAGGCCCCCAGACCAGCCTGGAGGTCTGGGGGTCAGTCGGACACTGACCACACATCCTTCCGTGGGGGCGGGGGTGGCTCTGGAGGGAGGGAAAGGGGAAAGCCCTAACCAGGTCCTCCAGCTATTGTTAGGCAAATGAAGAACACAGACCACCAGGCAAAGGGATGGCCATTGTTCCCCCGCATGATAGAAACCGCTGTCGTATCCCCAGGCCAGGACGGACCCACTGATGGCCGGAGAAGCTTCCAGACGTCCTCCAGTTCCCCCTCTTCGTCAGCAGGGGGCAGCAGAGAAACAGCCCCTTGGCTGCCTCTGAAATCTTACCCAGGGGCTGGTGCTGGGACTACCGGAGGAAGAGGATGTGTGCATCGGTCCTCCGAGGAGCCCCGCCTGGGGTGGGGCCGGGGATCCTGCTCTGTGCATAAATGTGACCCAAGATAAGGGCTGGGAGAGAGGCATGGACGCCCAGCTCCGAGAGGCCCGGCTGCTTCAGACGCCTGCTGCTTCATTCCTTCATTTAACAAGCACTTTGCGAGCAACTAGGGCTCCAGGCCTGTGCTCGGCTCTGGGGACGCAAAGAAGAAAAAGAAGGAGCCCAGCCTTCAGCGCACTCAGTCCGTTGCGGGAGACGTGCTCTGTGGAGCGGGAGAAGAGCCAGGTGCAGAGGCGAGGGGGGCCCGCCTAGCCAGGATGGGGTGGGGCGGGGGAGGGCATCTTAGGGGAGTTAACCAGTGTGAGCAGAGATGGGGAGGCGGGGAGGTAGGCAGGGCAGAGGCTGTGTGCAGCTAGGGAAGAGCTGGAAGTGCTGGGTGCCCAGCCTGACCCCAAGTCACAGCAAGTGAGTGGCCAAGTATGTGCACACAGCTCTCCCACCCGGAGTTCAGTGCTCTTGCCCTTCCAGAAGGCGTCTGCCTGCCCGCAGGTGGAAGGGTGGGGGAGGGTCCAGGGTGGGGTGGGAAAGTCCTGAAGGATGAGGTCCCCCCCAAGTGAGGAATGAGGGGATGGAGGAGGATGGAGTTAGCTCCTGAGACCTGCAGGGCCCCTCCCCGGGCCTGCATCCCAGGGTGCCTGCAGGGCTCTGCTCAGAGCATCTCTGCCTGGATAACTGCCCACAGCCAGAGGCGGCGAGTCCCCTAAGCTCGGCGCCGCCACACCATCTCCAGGTCCTGGGCCGCCCGGGATCTTGCTCCTTCTGAGCCTGGAGCTCCTCCACCATGAAAGGTGGCCTGTCCGAGTCTGCTTAAACACCCCAAGGCTACTGCCTTGATGGACTCCTCCTCCTGGGGGCCTGGCTACAGCATCCCTGGAGCCAAGGAACAGGTGGGCTACCCACAGAGGTGACTCTGGGACAGGGCTCGGGGTGGTTGGGACACAAACCACACCCCCCCCACACACACACCCCCAACACAGGCATGTGACAACACAGATGCGACATTCTGAACTCACAAATCTGGGCCCTTACCCAGGGGCCTCCCATGCCAACCTGCGCTCTCTGTGGTCAGGGTTGTGGGTTCTGTTGGTGAAGGAAAGCTACACGGCTCAAAATAGCCTGGAGTTAAAGCTCCCCTCCAGGTCCTCCCCACCATTCTATTCAGAATAAAGAACTTTCTACCCGGAAGAAAGGAATGGACATTAAGATTGATTACGTTCAGCTCCCAGCTGACCCCAGTCTCCAGCTGGTCTCAGGAATTCCTTGCCTCAGTTGTTGAAAGCTAACTAGTTAAAAATAATCTTAAGGAGAAACAGACCCCCTCAAAACAATGTATCTCTGCATATATATGTTTCCTATACAGACCTACTCTCCTCAGCCCACTCATGGGACTGCTGCCCCTTCTTGCCTCATTAAAGGTGATCTGTTCCTCTAAAGTGCCGGTCTCCTTTCTCCGAACATCGCCTTCTCTAACTCCCTTACCCTACAGTTGGGTCCCCTCAAATATGTTGAAGGCCTAAGTGCACCCCCCCCCCCCGAGCCATACCTGTGAATGTGACATGTTGAGGTCATATGGGATTCAGGTGGGGCCTAAACTCAACAGCTCGCTTCCCCATAAAGATGAAGCTACACAGAGACCCCACAGGGAGAGACAGCAGTGTGATGACAGAGGCAGAGTCTGGGTCGATGTGTCTCCCAGTCACGGGTGCCAAAGACTGCTAGGAATGAATGGAAGCTGAAAAGAGGGAAGAAAGTGTTCCTCCCTAGAGCTCTCAAGGGCAGCACCGGCCCCTGGATGCCTTGATTTCAGACTTCTGGCCTCCAGGACTGTGAAAGAATAAACGTCTGGGTTTTTTTTTCCGCTTTTAAATCCTTATTGAATTTGTTACAATTTTGTTTCTATCTTATGTTTTGGTTTTTTGGCCATGAGGCCTGTGGGATCTTAGCTTCCAGACCAGGGATGGAACCTGTACCCCCTGCATTGGAAAGCGACCTTTTAACCACTGGACCACCAGGGAAGTCTCCATGTCTGTTGTTTGAAGCCACCCAGTTTGGGGTGCGCTGTTACAGCCACCCTGGGAAACAGGCAAGGTCACCTCCCTAGATGGCTACCCCCCACGCCCACCCAGAATCCGGGGAGCTCCCCACAGCCGGCTCCTCTATCCGCACCCGGGGGCCCCCACCCCCGTCTCTCCCCCAGCAACGTGGTCAGTTCCATGGCATCCTGTACTCATGCGGTGGGAAGGAAAAGGGGGAGGGAAGTAGAAGAGAAATGATATTTTGAACTCTCCCGGCTGGAGACAGTAGCTGAAAGAAGGAGGTGGTCTGCAGGCAGGGGCTC